GGTCAAATTGACCAGGTGACTAACTACGCGGGAGAAATACGACCGTCATACGTCTTGTAAGAACGAATACTCTGTCAAATCTAATGTGTACATTGTACACTTTAAATAAAGTGTACATGGCATGCATACTTAAATGTGTGCATGGCATGCATACTTTTATAAATGCGTACCTCAGCATTCATACATTAATCAGAGTATACATATGCCATGTACACTTTACTTTAAGTAGCATTTGAATTGACAGCGTACAGCAAAATTAAATATCAAATGCATTTGCATAGTGCGACACGACGTAATAATAACGTACACAATGCTGTTTTGAAGCGTCTACTGGATAATAACTAACTGAAATATATCTGTTTCGCGATACACACAGCTTTTGATGTCATACAATGGAAAGTGCGTGCCGTTGACGCAATTATCACGAAAATGTTGCGCAAATGCTAGTACCTCAAAATGTTGATGGAGTTGACAGGTGAGAGCTCGCCCTCCTCCACCTCCCTCCCCCTCACAATCCTAAAACAAAACAATGCGCGTTCTCAAAGAAGTTACTGACCGTGCACAATACACTCGGCGATGGAGCAGAGCAGACGACGAGGATGGTGAAATGGTAAGTCCAGTAAGTCCAACGTGGAAGGGGGGGAGTGGGTTACTGCTACCACGTTCACTCTGTTTCCCTCACGCTCGACGCCGCCCACAGCAGTGCACTGCGCCCCTGGGCACGGCCCGGGTGCCCTCTAACCTCACTTCACTCCCGGTGGCCGACGCGACGCGGCGCTCCACGGCGGGGCTCGCTGCGGTCCTCGCGGCGCAGTAGGGCGGAGAGCTCTGGGCTGGGCGCGGGCGCAGGCGGTGCTGGGGGCGCTGGGCCGCTCGGCTCACGGCAAGCTCAGCCGGGCTCAGCCGGCCCGCTCAGCCTCAGCCTCCTCAACCCGGCGGCTGCGGCGGGACCAACAGCGCCAGCACGGGGCGCGGCTCGGCCAGAGAGAGAGAGAGAGAGAGAGAGAGAGAGAGAGAGAGAGAGAGAGAGAGAGA